ACTGCTACAAAGACTGAAATAATATTGGGGGGGCGGGAATAAGTAAAGCCTTGACTTTCCATCACGATCCTTCCAGTGTTTTTCATTGTCATAAAGATGGCTGGAACTCAGGAAGGCAATTTTGGAAATATATTCTGAGACTGAGCATCCTTTGGTTCAAATTTAATCTCGCCACTGAAATCAATGCATCTATGACAATTTACTTCCATGTAGGATCTAGTTTTACTTAAACAAATGCAAACAAACAGGAGAGACAACTCTAAATATCCTAAGTACAGGTTGAACCTCTCTAGTCCAGAATTCTTTGGTCCAGAAACATCCGGAATGATTTGAGTTAGTTGGAAGTCTGCTTTTCGTGGGCATGGCCAAGTTTCCCGTGATCGGATAAAGTTTGTTTACAGCCACTAGCCCTGGCTCTCAGTGTTCTGTGCTGTTATTTAGCTCTAATGGACCCACAAATGTCTTCTCAGAGACCAGTAAGCAGTGGAAGTGTTGACAATGCTGCTACACAATATTGACCTCCCGTGGTCTGGAAAATTCTCCCGAGGGTGCCAGACTAGAGAGGTTCAACTCTATCTTTTTTCTATCACTTTGATCCATGAGTGATAGGACAGATCTTTTTTCCCTATCACTTTGAGCCATGAGAACTCGGAGAAATTGGACAGTCCCTTTCTGACCCATGCGTGGATAGATCCCCGTTTCTATCAATTTCTCTGAATTGATGGGTCTATGCGACATTTCGGCAGAGTTCTCTTCAGGGCTTCCTTGACTTCTTGGTTTCTCAGGCTGTAGATGAGGGGGTTGATCAGGGGAGTCAGGACCGTATAAAAGACAGAAACAAATTTATTAAGGATTCTGAGGGCACCCGTGTTGGGTAACATGTAGATGGCTATTAGAGTCCCGTAGTAAATTGTAACCACAATGAGATGAGAGGAGCAGGTGGAAAAGGCCTTTTGCTTGCCTGTGGTGGAAGAGATTCTCAGGATGGTGGAGATGATACAAATATACGAGCTCAGAGTCAAAAGAAATGGGACAATGATGTTTGTGGAGGAGAATATGAGGGTGGCAAGGTTCACCACAGTGGTGTCACTGCAGGAGAGTTCAATCATTTGGGTAAGGTCGCAGAAGAAATGGTCAATTTCATGAGGCCCACAGAACGCTAGTTGTGACACCAAATAGATTATTATCGCAAGAATGAAGAATGAACTGAGCCATGACCCAGCGGCTAGCTGGATGCAGAACTTCCCATTCATCAGGGTTGCGTAGTGTAGGGGCTTACAGATCGCTAGGTATCGATCGTAAGACATTGATGCGAGGAGATAGCACTCCACTGTCAATAGGACACCAAACCAATAAAACTGAACCATGCAGCTAGTAACGGAAACGGTTCTGCTTCCAGTCAAGAAACTGTCCAGTATCCTGGGAAGAATGGTGGAGCTGTAGCCAATCTCCAAGCATGACAAATTCCCCAGGAAGAAGTACATGGGGGTGTGAAGGTGCCGATCGGCCACCACTAGCACAACAATAAGAGTGTTCGCAACCATGGTGAGTAGGTAGATCCCTAGAAACAGCAAGAAGAACAGGATCTGCAGTCCAGGGAGATCCCCGAATCCCAACAGGATGAATTCTGTGATGGACGTTTGATTTTCCCCTTCTCTTTTCTTCATCCTGCGTGGTGATGCAACTAGGGATTGAGCAAAAGTTGGGATTGGTTAAGAAGCGGGGTGAACAACACATTGGTTTCCCTCCTTTCAGTTCCTTACAAATTCAGTGGCACCTAAGATCAAGGTTTATATTCCTTCTCATCCAAGGGACTGCTTCTCATACAAGTGTTGCCTAGATCAAGGAAGAGAGATTTCCCACTCGAGTTCCAACCCAGGGTTAGGGTTAGGGTTAGGGTTCCAACCCATTCCAAAAACAATACAATGAATTACTACTTCCTACACCTCTTCTCAACAGCTTTCATTCATTGGTTTATGCGTTTACAAGCCAAAATGGTACCGTGAGACCATCTTGTCAAGTGTCCATTATAGACACACGCCAACGAATGTCCACATTGTATATGGTTAAAAGGCATTCTCCAGGAAAGCAATAGTTTCATAGCTGTCCAAGAAGAAAGATAGAAAGAGTGATGTGAAAGAGGTTTGGCAGAGGAAAAGACCAAAAGACAGGTAGAGAGAGTGTGTAGGAGGCATGAGAGAAGGACAGAAGTGATTAGGGGCACAAATAAAAAACTGATTACAGATATTGGTAGGTGAGATCTTACTTCTCTTCTTTCATCAGTTTCTTCAGTCACAAATCACTATCACATTCTAGCGTTCTTCCTCAGTGGCTACGTCTAGACTGGCATGATTTTCCGCAAATGCTTTTAACGGAACAGTTTTCCGTTAAAAGCATTTGTGAAAAAGAGCATCTAGATTGGCACGGCCGCTTTTCCGCAAAAGCACCTTTTGCGGAAAAGCATCCGTGCCAATCTAGACGCGCTTTTGCACAAAAAAGCCCCGATCGCCATTTTAGCCATCGGGGCTTTTTTGCGCAAAACAGTACTGTGCTGTCTACACTGGCCCTCTTGCGCAAATGATTTGCGCAAGAGGGCTTTTGCCCGAATGGGAGCAGCACAGTATTTCCGCAAGAAGCACTGATTTCAGACAGTAGGAAGTCAGTGCTCTTGCGGAAATTCAGCCGGCCAGTGTAGACAGCTGGCAAGTTTCCCGCAAAAGCAGCTGATTTGGCGGAAAAACTTGCCAGTCTAGACACAGCCAGTGAGTGAGGACACTGACCAATAGGAGCCACCATCGGCTTAAGGGATTCATAACCTTTCGAGGATGTGTCCTGAAACGGTCACAACAGCAGATGCCCAAATGACCCTGTTAATCTTTAAGGAGACACAGGACTTCTGGGGTTTTCTTTGTGGATACAAACCAGCATGTCTACTCCTTTGATATATAGAAATAGAGCTGTAAGTAGATAGATAGAGGGGGGTGGGGATAGATAGATAGATCGAGGGGGTGTGTGGGGATAGATAGATAGATCGAGGGGGTGTGTGGGGATAGATAGATAGATCGAGGGGGTGTGTGGGGATAGATAGATAGATCGAGGGGGTGTGTGGGGATAGATAGATAGATCGAGGGGGTGTGTGGGGATAGATAGATAGATCGAGGGGGTGTGTGGGGATAGATAGATAGATCGAGGGGGTGTGTGGGGATAGATAGATAGATCGAGGGGGTGTGTGGGGATAGATAGATAGATCGAGGGGGTGTGTGGGGATAGATAGATAGATCGAGGGGGTGTGTGGGGATAGATAGATAGATCGAGGGGGTGTGTGGGGATAGATAGATAGATCGAGGGGGTGTGTGGGGATAGATAGATAGATCGAGGGGGTGTGTGGGGATAGATAGATAGATCGAGGGGGTGTGTGGGGATAGATAGATAGATCGAGGGGGTGTGTGGGGATAGATAGATAGATCGAGGGGGTGTGTGGGGATAGATAGATAGATCGAGGGGGTGTGTGGGGATAGATAGATAGATCGAGGGGGTGTGTGGGGATAGATAGATAGATCGAGGGGGTGTGTGGGGATAGATAGATAGATCGAGGGGGTGTGTGGGGATAGATAGATAGATCGAGGGGGTGTGTGGGGATAGATAGATAGATCGAGGGGGTGTGTGGGGATAGATAGATAGATCGAGGGGGTGTGTGGGGATAGATAGATAGATAGAGGGGGCGTGTGGGGATAGATAGATAGATCTGTAAGCAGAAAGATGAAGAGATTTGTTCGGCAGGGGGATCGCTATAAAGACAGAGACTATGGAAGAGGTTTAAGTGAGGGATAGATACAAGGGATTAAAGGGATTAGTGCTAGGCGAGCAGGGGAGACAGCTCTCCTGTGTCTTCCATCAGTTTCTCTCGTAATACCTCATATCCTGCTCTACTGTCCGGACTCAGGGAAAACTTCCCGGGCATGAAGACACGGTGCAAGCGGAGGTGTCCTGAGACGCGTCCCACTCACTTGTAATCCTCGGCAGGAAGCTGCCCCCTCGCCGTTGATGGGGACCGAGTCTGGTTTCAGCAGCTTTCCTGCCCTCTCTGCTCCCGGGGAGGCATGTTGTCGTGGGATCGGGTTTCTTTCCTGCTGTCCTCCAAGCCGGCCGCCAGGCGCCAAATCCAGAATCTTCCCTGCTTCGCATTCTTACATCTTTTATTGTGGGAAACCGCCTCCTCCCGGATGCCTCTGTTCCTCGGATATCCCCAGGGCCCCGCGCCGGTGATCACTTTAAAATTCACCCTGCGCTGCTTGTTAAAACGGAGCAACCCCACAGCTGATGGTGCTGGCAAGGATGTCCCACAGGGAGAGCTCCATTAACGAGCTGACTGCATAGCCTAGCTAGGAGGCTAGCTAATTCGTGGGTGATAATGAGGAACACCAGGAAGCAACAGCAAGTAACCCCTGAAAGCGAATCAAGTTGAATATTGACACCATGAACAAGTGGTTATCTACAAAGGCTAGATGGGTCATCTAGACTACACGCTTCTTTCAAAAAAGCCTCTTTCGAAAGAGATTGTCTAGACAGCCACTGCTTTTTTCGAAAAAGAGATCCGCTTTTTCGAAAGAGAGCATCCAGGCCATCTGGACGCTCTCTTTCGAAAAAGCCCTGTTTGCAGCCAAGAGCTCTTTCAAAAAAAGGTGTTCGTCCTCATAAAATGAGGTTGACCGCTGTCAAAAAAAACCCACTGCCTTCTTTCAATTGAATTTTGAAAGAACGTGGCGGCAGTCTAGATGCAGGTGACGTTTTTTTGAAAAAACATTGTAGTCTAAACATAGCCTTAGATAGGTGAAGAAGACTAACTGGCGTCCAATGGAAATGTTGAGATGTTTCCCAGAATGCACTGGGCCCATGGAAAGCCAGAGTGATGTCTACTCCACTGCCTTAACTGACTTTGAGCAAGCAGGAGAGCCAGGAATGAGGAGTACCAAAGGCGGCACCTCCAGTTCATGGACCACCAGCTCCGCACCCAGGACCACTGGGTCCAGGAGGACCTGAGTCTGCACCGGAGGAATCTGGAGGCCCTGGAGGAGCAGGGCCGTGCCCTGCGAGGCCACCTCTAGAGCCTGCTCGACCGCTTCCCAATTCCTCCTCCCCCTGCTCCCCCTTCTCCTCCTGCTTCCCCTGCTCCTCCTGCTCCCCCTGCTCCCCCTCCTGCTCCCGCTCCTGCTTCCTCCACACCCCCTGTCCCTCCTGCCCCCCCTCCACAACCATTTCCCACCGACGCCCCCGGACCCGCAGTGTGGCGAGACGGGAGAGGCAGCCGGACTCCCACCCCTGAGCTTTCCTTTCCCTTCCTCCCTTCCCTCCCCTTCCAGCTCCCTCGTCCCAGGTTTCCCCCTCCCCTCTCCCACCCTCATTCCTCCCTTCCCCCACCCCAGTTATG